ATAAAATTTTATTTGCTCTTTTAGTTGATGGCACAATAAACTCTTTTGGCATTTTTTGGCCCCCCCTTAAAGAGCACGTGCTTCGGGGTCTTCTTCTTCAGGTGATTATATTGAAATATATTCTATGCGCGCGACGGATTGAGTATGCTTGATCCAAGGTCATTCGTAAAATCAGATGTGAAAAACTTTGAAAATATAAAATACCACATGAGAGAAATTAGATTTTCACATTTAAGATTGGGAAACCAGGTTATTATTTTTTCCCTTGGAATGTGCAATAGATAAGATCTTTGGTCTGTTCTACCAATTAAATTTCCTATTTCTTGGATTTCTTCTGCGATTTCCCCTAATTGGAGCGAGTATTCTCTTACAACTTCAAAGCTTTTTAAGGCCAATGTTATGCGTTTCCCCAACCGCCCAGTCCCACCAACTCCCCCTGCCTCACATTTTTACCGCTGCGAAAACTTAGTCAAGCCAATTATTATTTAAATAAAATGCAAAGCAGCAATTTAAGCCGCCGGCAGAGGTCGGAGCAGCCGAGCAGAACGCTTCTCTCCACTTGGTTTAATTGAGAGACATCCACCGAGCACCACCCCCTTTCCCCCACGTTTACCACCTGAAGATGAGACGCACTAACTGGCTATAAGTTTGCCGTTGCCGCTTCCTCTCGGACGCCCTTCTTCAAATGATGCCGACAACAATGGCAACTCAGGCAGCGGTAGCAACAGGAACAACCGAAACGAGAACACGAACTGACAGTTGACGGGCGACGCCTTCGTCTAACGGCTGAAAATGAACAAAAAAGTTGAAAGCAAAAAAATTAAAGAGGAAGATGTCAGAGTTGCCATTTCAGTTCATTTCAAATGCGGTTCAAATAATAGAATTGAAAATGAATTGCCAAAAGTTTTTTTCCAAAAATATCTTAGTTTAATGGCTACAAAAATGTTACGTTACGTGAATTTAGTAAAGAATTTTTAAATTGCAATCAGGCATACGTTTAAAAATACAATGCATTTTTTTATAATTTTACTAAAATATATCAATTATGATATTTTTATAAACTGCGCCATGGGTATTAATTGAACTTTGGATATATTGGAAAAGTATACTTTTTTTTAGTTTTTGGGAACCTTAATCTAGTTTCCAACCCCATCTGTAAAGCCATGCGATAGCAGAACAGTCACATTTTCGATGGCAGTCGTAAATCAAAATGGCTGAAGCTGAAGTTGATGGCCGCAGAAAGAAGTCATTCATTTCATTTCATTTTAGTTCATTTCGGTTCCGGACACGTTGGTTAGACAGGGACGGCGCATGCGTGGGAGTGGATGAGTGGGATGGGAAAGTGTTGATGTGCTCATTAACGGAATTCTGGGTAAAATCCCCACAGTGAGTGATTGATAACCCGTCCAATGGACCTCTGTTTTGCCGACGGATCCGTCGTATTTCGTCCGATTCTGGTTGTGCAATCAGCTGTCGAGGTGTGTGGCTTAAAACTGGTAACGGGACTGCCCATAGGGCATGCGCACTCCGTGCATGTGTGTGTGTGGGAGTGTGTCCAGTGCGAATGTGTGCGTGGCTAAGTGGGCTGGGCTTAAACTATGGTTCTTGTCTTGGCTGAACCTGATTGCACGAGCAATGCACAGTGGGGCAAAGATCTCGCAGAGTTACAATTTTGAAATATCATTAGCAATTGATATTAAATAACAAACTATAACGCAAACTTTAATTACAAGTTGATACCCATTTAAATATGTCGCGGATCTAGTTTTTTTATTATGTTTGACATGCGTTGTGAAGAAAATCCAAATTAGGACATGAAAATTTTGAGTAAGAGGAGAGTAGTTACCAATACAATAATTTGTGACTCATGTGAAGATTATGATCCGTTATAATGTTTGATGGACTCCACTGTTTAACAGCCCTGCCAAATCAGCTTTTTTTTCGTCGTTTCTACTTTTTTGGAGGAATAGCTGTGATATTTTTAAAACAGCGAAAACCGTGAGTTCTGCATTTTACATTTTACAAAATCTTTATTAGAGCAAAGCTGAATGCCCTGCGATAATTTTTTTTATAAATTTTTATACCCTTGCAGAGGGTATTATGATTTCAGTCAGAAGTTTGCAACGCAGTGAAGGAGACATTTCCGACCCCATAAAGTATATATATTCTTGATCAGCATCACAAGACGAGTCGATCTAGCCATGTCCGTCTGTCCGTCTGTCCGTCCGTCTGTCCGTCCGTTTCTACGCAAACTAGTCTCTCAGTTTTAAAGCGATCGAGATGAAACTTTCGTAAAAGTCGTATTTCTATTGCAGGTAGTATATATGTCGGAACCAACCGGATCGGACAACTATATCTTATAGCTCCCGTAGGAAGGATAAAAAAAAAACGTAAACAAATTCTAGCTCCGGTGTTTTTTTAAATTTTACCTTCTACTCTTGGGAATATTTTTTTTCTATATTTCTGAATTTCGGTTTTTTTGTTTTTTAAATCGGATCACTATATCATATAGCTGCCACAGGAACGGTCGAAAAATTAAATGGGAAATTAATGGGAAAAAAATTATATCTTTGTTGGTTTTTATTACATTTCCTTCTACTCTGGGATATGACTATTTTGAAATATTTTTGAATTTCGATTTTAATTTTTAAAAGATCGAACTACTATATCATATAGCTGTGATAGAAACGATCGAAAAATTAATGTGAAATAATAAGAAATTTAACATTTTTGCGATTTGTACACACAAAAAAATTTGCTTGGTAAAATTGACCAACAAAGATAGTTACGTAACTATTAAAATAGTTACGTGTATTTTGTTTTTGCTTTGGGTTTGTGTCTTTGCTAATTGTGTGTATTTTGTTGTTGTGAAATGACTATTTACTTAGTAGAATTGACTATTTTGCTGGTTGGGGCCTGTTTGACAATTATTACAGTTGATTTTACCAAGTTTTTTTTTTGTGTGTAAATTAATAGAATGATCTGCAAGGGTATATAAGCTTCGGCTTGCCGAAGCTAGCTTCTTTTCTTGTTATTTATGTTTTACAAATTTTCAACAATGATTTTAAAAGCCCACAGATTTTTTTTAAAGTTATTAAATATTAGTTAATTTATTCCCATTTATTTCGCTTATGTGCCGAAGTCCTGCCAAATCCAACTATTTCTCTTCAAAAGTTGCCATCACTGCTGTCCAAACAGTCAACTTCAATTTTAAATCAATAGGGGGCGCCGCTTGAGCCCTTGTTTTCGTGGCATACTTTCAGGCAGTCAAATCTGACGGACTTTTGACATTTGACATGCTAGTAGTTGCCGAAATTATCGCTAGATGGCGTGGGATTTCCTGGGGCGATTTTTGGAGGTACACAGCGAGAAAAGGGCTTCTAAAATAGATCAAGTAGTTGTGACGCCCTCACAACCAGTAAACTAATCATAAGCTAGCATAACTACTCGCATAAGGATAAATTCGCATCAAATACGTTTGCAATTAAAGAGTGGCCAAATCAGTTATGGCGAATCAAATTTGAGCAATTTCTTCGCTTGAATAAATCACATCAGACGAACATAAATCATACAGTGAGCAGGCATTTGCCTGCTCCCTCGCCCCCGCAACCGCAGCAGCGGCAAAAACAGGAAGAACAGACAAAACACACATCAGACATTATTATCATCTCGCTTGTGCTTGAGTGGGTTTCTTTGCCTACCCCAAGGCTCTGGGTTCCCTGGGCTGCCTCGCTTCTCCGCCCCCCACATGTCTGATATAGGCAGAGATCGGGGCACAGTCCAGCGATTTGCCAGCATCCGTTTGGCCCCCACACACACACAGTACACAAACAGAGCACTCAACACACAAACACGAACACACGCTTCCTTCCGCCGGCTGCCATTGTCCTTTCGCGCCATTTTGCCCATCCCGAGACGCCCGCTCAATCGCCATCATTGGGAAATGTGTAATTGAAAGGGAAGCTTTTGGCTTTGCCAGCGTCGGAGGCAAGAAAATTATTTCGTTAACAAAAGGGAAAATGCCAGGAAAAGTGGGGGACGGGACCAACAGGAAGAGAATGCAGGACGAGCACAATGCAAAGAGAGAGAGAGAGCGAGACTGAAATATTTTAAAGTTTACCATTCCGTTTATTTTATTATGCCCTTTTTTTGTTGTTCGGGACTTCATGCTTTGTGCAAGTCGGGGAAGTTTCATTTCCGACAGCAAGTTACCGTTAGTTAGTTGGGGATTTTCGGCAGGGTTGTCACCATCACCACAAAAGCAGACCCTGCCAGAGCGGGACAGACATGTGAATATGCATGGCCTGGCAGGGAACGTGTGTCTCCGTCTCCCTCTTTCTGTCTGGATTATCCAAATGGAGCTGCGGAGTGGGGAATTTTGTGATTTATGAGGTCAGAGACTCGTGATAATGAGCCAGGAAATTAAATCACTTTGACCGGAAGGATGTCAGGTCAAAAGGGGATAACACAATTGATTTCATATTCATAAATTCAATGAATGTTGTCAGCTTGTCAAGCGCGGGGAAAACGGGGGCAATTGCATGCCAGTGGAAGATCCTAGGTTTGGGGATTACATTGCAGAATGTCATCTTGGCTTGACTTTGTGGAATTTCCGGAATCTCATGAGGATGCAGGGTTGCCGATGGCTTATGATATTGCACTGTTTTTATATTATTTTCAATTCGTTACTCAAGAATCCGGTTCTCACACTGCCAATCAATTTGCCAAAATATATTCGGAGATCTTGAAAGGAAACTTGAGTCGAACTAACACACCCTATAAACTCCTCCCTCACCCAAAAACCCCGATTCTATGGCATATTTTTAAGAACTTGTCCATGCATACCATAAACAATTTGTCAGGGGCTCCACATGTTGCTCTCAACTTAGCAAACATGTGAAATCAGACATCCAAAGAACCACTTCGTACTTCACTTTAAACCAAAACTTTGAGAAGAGCGCACCCACAATAACCCGAATTTCGTCTTTTATTGCTTACAGAGTTTCAAAATCAAAATTGAGGAATACCAACTAGAGGATAAGGCTACTTAAGGATCAAAGAACACCAAGGAGAGGAGATTTTCTACCAAATCGAGCGACGAAGAGCAGGTTGATTTCGTCATTTTTGGCCAAGACAGCAAACAGAGGAACAGCAAAGCGGAAATCATTTTATACCTCACACAACAACTACACACTAACTAAGACTAGGCTACGCAACTGTACATTGTACTTAAGTGTTCAAAGGTTATTTAGGTGAGTGATACTCTTTAAGCTGGCTTTATTTTTAAGTGAATTATGAAGTATAGAGTACCAACCACACGTTTCTCCACTTTCCAGGTTACTTTGTATATAAGGAAAGTAGCTAAAAGCACGGAGACAGGGAGGCAGGAGCACCACAGTCACTAGCCACTAAGCAGAGTAACAGTCACGATCACGTTCACTCCAGGATCAGGACTCGCGGCGGGATCAGCGGACGCTGAGGAGGCTGCCACGATGACGATGAGTACAAACAACTGCGAGAGCATGACCTCGTACTTCACCAACTCGTACATGGGGGCGGACATGCACCATGGCCACTACCCGGGCAACGGGGTCACCGACCTGGACGCCCAGCAGATGCACCACTACAGCCAGAACGCGAATCACCAGGGCAACATGCCCTACCCGCGCTTCCCGCCCTACGACCGCATGCCCTACTACAACGGCCAGGGGATGGACCAGCAGCAGCAGCAGCAGCAGCACCAGGTCTACTCCCGCCCGGACAGCCCCTCCAGCCAGGTGGGCGGGGTCATGCCCCAGGCGCAGACCAACGGTCAGTTGGGGGTGCCCCAGCAGCAGCAACAGCAGCAGCAGCAGCAACAGCCCACGCAGAACCAGCAGCAGGTGACGCAACAGGTGACACATCCGCAGCAGCAGCAGCAACAGGTGACGCAACAGGTGACACATCCGCAGCAGCAGCAACAGCAGCCAGTCGTCTACGCCAGCTGCAAGCTTCAGGCGGCCGTCGGCGGACTGGGCATGGTCCCCGAGGGCGGATCGCCCCCGCTGGTGGATCAGATGTCCGGCCACCACATGAACGCCCAGATGACGCTGCCCCACCACATGGGACATCCGCAGGCGCAGGTGAGATAAATTTAATATGACTATCGTAGCTTTTAGGGGATGCTTTGGTAGTAAGGTTAAAAGTCACGATCAGCTTAAGGTAGCAAGAATTACCGATTACATTTGGGATTTAATTATAGAATTATATTAGCTTTAATTTATCTCTTTATAACAAAACTGTACATGTCAATACGGAAGGCACATTTTAAAGTACAAATGCTTGGATTTGTATAAATAGCTTGTTTTTTAATTAACTATTACTTTACCATTACCATTATTATTTAATCAATACCTCTCTTTAAAATATTTTTAGGGTCAAACGTATCTTAACTAAAACACCATTTATAGGTCTTTTAAAAGCGTTACAATATTTCAATCAGATAAAACTAAATATTTACCCATCTTTCATTTAAATATTAGATTTAAAGGACTAAAATTAGAACAGAGTTAAAAAATGAGGCTTCTTATTCGTTCTGAATAAAAGAAAATGTCAGCAAAAGCTATATGTCCAATTAAATATCGCGTATTTTTAAGTAATAATTAAAAAAATAATGCTTTTGGGTCTAAAGGTTAATGGTTATTTATACTAAAAAGTTTATATGTACACATGTAGAGCTTCTTATCCCACCCGCATATCTCGCCAACCACTTAACGCTTTTCCCATCTTTTTCACCTCCGCTTTCGCTGATCGCACCCGCAGTTGGGCTACACGGACGTGGGAGTTCCCGACGTGACAGAGGTAAGATAAAGTCCCCATTCCGCTTGTCGCCTATTTACACAGCCCCTCCCAGTGGTGGATGGTTCAAGGCCCCAGCTCCAATGATACCTTATCACTAATCTGAACAATCCCTCGCAGGTCCATCAGAACCATCACAACATGGGCATGTACCAGCAGCAGACGGGAGTTCCGCCTGTGGGGGCTCCACCCCAGGCGATGATGCACCAGGGCCAGGGTCCTCCACAGATGCACCAAGGACACCCTGGCCAGCACACGCCACCTTCCCAAAACCCGAACTCGCAGTCCTCGGGGATGCCGTCTCCACTGTATCCCTGGATGCGCAGTCAGTTTGGTAAGTGTCAAGGAAAGTGATCGACAATTCCACGAAACGTATTAAGTGGAATTTTTCTTCTTCTTATCGTAGTGGGTTGCAGTAGTTAGTCCCCGTATAGAGTTGATCGTAGTTCCCATTAGAAACGTAACTGTGCATACAACGGCAAGAGCTGAATATTTAAAATTAAACCGTTGGAGTTTTTACCTTACATTTTACATTTTGCACTGCTTGCTTTAGATCGGTGTTTACTGCTTTGTAAAAGATCGCGAAACAAGCAGTGAACATTTAGTACCTACAAGCAGTAACAGGAAAAGGAAGAGATAATTTTAAAATTTTACATTTTATAAGTGCCTGAAAAATACAATTTTACAGTTTTCCAGGCATTAAATATTATTTATTACTTTTTTTACATGTACAATGTTTTTATTGAAAATTATTTTTTGAATTGTAAGGTGAAATACCTCACATAATTATTTTGAAAATATCTTCAAAGTTTAATATTCAAATTAAATTCAAAATACAAATATGTTAAATTTTATTTAAATGTAAATCTGAAACCCCTATGCAACCCCGCTCTGCCAATACTCTTCAATGCCTTTGGTTCAAATCGTTTAGACGACGACCTTGACACGTCAGGGTAATTTCACTTTATTGCCTTGCCCAATTGCTCGACATTAACCGTAATCCATCTGCAGAAGATACCTGACATTCGTTCAAATTTGCGAATTTCCGAAATCCCAAAATCGATGAATGCAGGCAGATGAAAGAGGTGGCGGAAGAGGTGCTCCTCGGGTTCCGCTTGTCCCACAGATCCGAGCACAGAAGGCGGTCCTGCCGGCTAATGCAAATCGACAATAGTCCCGAGTCCTGCCAGAAAAAGGTTTGCCAAAACCCGAGGCGTACTAATGAGAGCTGGAAAGTAGAGCACACAGACTGCATGTGGTTCGGCTTTAGATAGATTCAAAGGATGTTGCATAAGTGGGGATAGTGTTTTTGCCCGCCTTTCGAGGGAAATTGCTGCACGGACAAGGAGGCGAGTCCCTTCCAAATATAGAATTCCGTTGGCATTTCACTTTTCCCCGGAGAAAGTGAGAGCAGGCCTCGGCCTCAAGTGGATGGTCCTTTTTTTCTGTCCGCAGCCAGCTGACCTGCTCCTGGGTCATTACCAAATCCACGGAGCTCTCCCCATCCGCATCCCCATCCTCGGGTGTTGCTGTGGTTTTTTGTTTGCTGCTCGCTGTATTCGGTATTTTTTCGCCAAAGCCAGATTGAGATGTAAAGCAGAATTGATGAGCGCCATTACTTACACGTTATGTGCAATGGATGCCATCAATTTATTAATCTCCAGAACACGCCGAGGCTCCATTCATAGCACCACTCCGCAGTGGCCACTCCGTCGTCTTAATCCCCTCCCCCTACGCCTCTGCGGCGGTGCAAAAAATAAAGAGAACGCGCCTTAAAAAAGCGAGGAGAAGGAAGGCAGCCACCACGGTGACATGAAGTTTTCCCCTCTTTTCTCTTATTATATACTTTTTTTTGGATCTCTTGCTTCTTTTCTTTATTAAAAATGAAGCGGTCAGAGAGGATGAGGGCGGGTGGAGGGCTGGGGAATTAAAGCTGGAGTTGGCCCAAAGCTCGGTCCGCATCTCATCTCCCGCGGCGGCAACTGCGGCATTCTCACTGTGCCACAACATGATCCCCGAGCTTAAGTTACGATGATTAAATGCATACGAGTTTATTTCTGCTTAGGTTTTTGCCTTTCCGGCACAGCTCCTCTTGGCCCGAGTTGGCTGCATTTTGCATTTTGCATAGCCCATAAATAGTCGGCAACAGTGGGACACATAATCGAAAATTGCTCAGAGCCTGGGGCAGTTTGAGAATTAGAAAAGATTGAGGGGTTTGGCCCGATCACGTTTGGTATAGGTTTTTTAAAAAAAAAAAGATCCAAGTTTAGAAAATATTTTATAAACAGCTGAAGCTTTTTAAGAAATATAAATCAAATTAGTTCGCTTTTACTCAAGTTCTCTAATAGAATTCTAAACATATCCATAAACTTTCAATATTCCACTGTAACACGATTGCAACTACTTAACGCCTGGACATTTTTCTAGCCTGCATTAGGCAACAACTAAGGCGAACAAATAAAAAGATAAAGGTGCCACAAAGGTTCCGATCGTGACTGGGCAAGGCGAGAAGGCTCTCTTCGGGCCTCTTTCGAAGTAAAAAAAAGAACCAAGTGACGGGAAAACGAAACTCCGTTTCAATTAAGTTGTAACTCATGGATGGCAGTCAGCACAAAGGGCTTGGAGCCCTTTTGGCCCTTCAGTCGGCTCTCCTGCCTTAATGTTGTTTTGATATTTACCAAGTTCAACTCGATTTCCTCCACTTTTCCCCTTTTATCTCGCCTCTATTTGATAATTTGCTGGCGAGTTTAGGAGGAAACTTGCAGTCCAAGCCGAATCCTTTGGATGCTGCTGGCTCTTTTTGAGGTCCCCGAGTTTTGGGGTCATAAATTTAAGCGACAGTCAACAAGTGTTTGCCTGGCCTCCTCTGTACTCTGTTCCCATTTACACATGGAGAATAAAGGTGTCGTAAAGTTGGTGGTAAAACATTGTAGTTATTAAATACAAATACAAAAGTTTGTTTGAGTCATATATTAAATACTTAAATTGCAACTGATTAAATTCGTTTCTTAGCCACTCAATGTTTATAAAGTTGCCCTATTGCCCACCTAAAATGCAGTTTTGTTGCTCTCCTAGAAATGCATTTTTTATTGCCCCTGTCAGAGCTGCTCATTGTGATTCACTCAGATTGCCTGGGAAATCTCTCGCTTACACAAAATGGAAATATTTATGCCAGCGGAGCCAAAGCTGAGCACTTTTCAATTCTGGTCGGCGGCAGGGCGAGTAGGAAAAGTGCACTTCATTGTGCGCATTATAAGCGACAGTTTCCACTCCGCCCCCCCTTGGAAGCTGTCAGTGGGGTTCAAGACAATGAAAAGAACTTCTCGCTGGCCAAAAAGTTGCACGTTGTCTGCTGGAAAAACTTTTGCCCTGGCTTTGGTAAAACGTTGATCCCGGCCATCATCCGTTTGGCAGTTGCCGGCGGGGGGAAGGGGAAACTTTGCCATCCTTGGACTTTGTTGTCTGTTGGCGCTGCACTTAATGTCCTGGAGAGTTTTGCTTAACTTGAGGATTTGCGCGCAAACTACTTTTCGATGGCAGAAGAGCGACAGTGGGCGGTGGGTGGAGGACAACTACTTAGGCAGGCGATTGGCCCGGCTTAGATGTGTCCGCCCAAAGTGAAATTGTGTTAACGTATTTTCCTCTGCCATTCCTCAGGATTTTCATACCCTCTAGATACTTGTGGAGTTCTAAGGTTGTTTTCAATTTAGAAAATTTGTTTAATAGGCGGCTTTCGCATAAGATATTCAATATTTTTTGGTTAGTAAACACTTATGAATTTTACATTTTCGATATGGAAAATTGAAAAGGTACAAATTTATCTCAAGAAAGTACAAGGTATTTACTAGTTCGCATCACCATGACATAATTTTTTTTTCGAATTTTTTTGCCGCTGGCAATTTAAGCGGACGGATCAAAAGATAATTTGCCAAATGCGTGAAGATTTTTTCTAAATATATACACAAACCTATATATATGTACACAGAGAAAAAAAACCAAGAACATTGCACTCAAATCAAGAACATTCGTTCTTAAAAACCGGGTAAGCACAAATGTTCTCATTTCGAGTTGAATGTTCTCAATATCAGAACGAAATGGTGTTAGCTAAAAATCCGACATTAAGTTCACTTCGTTATATTTTCAAGTTGATTTTGTTCTTAATTCAAGAACATTTTTAAATAAAATGGATACAAATATAAGTTCATTTGTTCTATTTTCAGCACTTTTTGCTCTCAATTCTATAGCATTTTGAGTTTGATTTTAGCTAAGGATAAGAGTAATTTATAAGTAATATTAAAAAGGTAGTTGTCCATTACACCTTATAAAGGTGCGCGTTGCACTTGACTTCCAGCTAGTGTGGAAGTTCATTAAAGACTTAAGCCAGAAAAAAAGTCTTAAAGTCTCAGAATCTGAATTGGGCTCGGTTCATGAAGGGCTAGAACCAGTTGGGAATTACATATAAGACGAAAAGGGCAAATCTAATGGTAAAGTCGTATTGGAGCAAAGTAAAATGGTCTAATGCGTTCTAGGTGTCAAACGAAAACATCCTAACGCGTTCTAGGAAATCCAAAAAAATTAGAGAATAGAGTTTTGAATCATTTTAAGTTGAAATGCAACTTAATTTTTGTTCTTTCTTTAGTCTTTTTCGTTCTCAAACTAAGAACATTTTCAGATATTGTGGTTTTTGAGAACCAAATCGATTTGATTTAAGAACCATGTGCTGAAATAATAACGATTCGTTCTTATTTCAAGAACATTTTAAGCTCAACTAGATTTTAAGAACCAATTCAACTTAATTCAAGCACATTTAGAACATTTTAAACTTGAAAAAGGCCTTTCTATTTTTAAGAACATTTTCAACTCAGATGAGAACGTTAGAATTTTCTCTGTGTACGGAAAACTCACCCCTCTGACAGGGTCTGTCAAAAAATTTGAGCAACGTGAAGCACAAAAAATGACACAGGAACTTTGGGGATTTCCAACCCACAAACACAAGCGAACATTCCGTGGCGTTGGGTGGAAAAGTTTAATAAAGCGCAGCAAATGCGAAGAGGAAATTTCGCTTTTATTTCGGCAGAGCCACCCCCCTTTCTCCACGCCCACGCCCCCGTCCCTGGGCTTGTGGCCAGCTGAGGAGCCCAAAATAATGGCAACAGCTCGCCAAAGGTCCTTGGGGGCCTCAGCACTCGGAGATGGGTCAGTTCTGGACATGGGAGAGGCATCCGGGGGCCTTGTGGCTCAATCGCAGCTCTGTTTTCGGATTCCATTTTTTCCTTCATCTTCTGTTTGGGCCGCTGCTGTTTTTGTATTTTGGGATTTGGCCAACCTTTTGACAAATTACGAATA